GTAGGTGTGAATGTGAGTCTGTCTCTAAGTGTAGCCCTGTGATAGACTGGTGACCTGTCCAGGGTGTCCCCTGCCTTCGCCCTAAGTCAGCTGGGATACACGCCAGCCCCCCTGTGACCTTAGTGAGAATTAAGCAATGTATATATAATGGATGGATGGATGATTTCAAATGAAGGTAAGCGCCTGTCTAATGGCCCACAGGACTATCAAGCATGCGATATTGGGGAAACAGCGTGTTGCTGATGCTGTGGACACAGACATGACTCATTCTCTCAATGCACCAGAAACACTCATCACATTCCCAACACTTCTGGCGATGGCACTCTACATGAAATCTCCAACCAGATTGCCATTGGTCTTCAGGGAGCTTAAGAAAAGTCTTCACCTACCACCTCACTGACAACAAAGTTTAAACTAAGGTAACTTCTGACAAGCTTTCGAAGCTTTAACTTACAATCCAACAACCCTCTCCCCAGCAGCCTGAGCATACCACATTCTCTGTAGTTCCACCAGGTTTGCTAGGTGTGATTTATCCCACCTAACATTCCCTACAGCAACCTGTTCCCAGCTCCACCACCTAAGCCAGTTCTGGTAATGGGATACCAACTCACTTTCAAGTCCAGCATAAGATGCCAGTGGCACATGCCTCCATCGACCATGCCAACAATCAGGATCGTTATCAGGCTTCTGCAGAGCTTGATGATGAGCTGATCATTTGAATCAGGTGTGTTGGAAGAGGGAAACATCTAAAACTTGCAGGATTGCGGCCGTCGAGGACCGGAGTTCGAGACCCCTGATCTAGAGTGACCGGCGCCGTTCAACTGTTAGATCGCTCAACAAGCTGAGAAACACCAACATCCTCAGTCAGCACTGAGCTTCAGATTCAAAACAGCTGATCATCAACAAAGCCGGGAGATATGGGTCCGAGGAAGATACTCGCGGCAGAAGAAGTCGACGACATTAAAAAGTCGCTCGATTTCTTAGCTGACGAAGTTTGTGCTGTCAGACTGCAGCAGAAAAACATATTGGACCTGGTCGAGGAATTGAAAGTTCTGCGGGCACATAATGCAGAGACGGACAAGCGGCTCGCCTACCTGGAGAGGAGAGTGGAGGACCTGGAACAGTACACCAGGATGAACGACGAGATCGTCACTGGGCTCCAGATTAAACCCCGGTCATACGCTCGGGCTGTGACCGCTAACAACGGGGGGCGGATGAATTGGACTTCAAACGGCAAAACCATCCAGGCTTTGTGATGCACTTGTCCTGCGCAGATCACCAATGTACCAGCAGGCCCTGTATACACTAGGTGGGCACTTTGTGTTGGGTGATGGAGGATACCCGACACCAAACTGTCAGGCTGTGACAAGTAAGAATACTAGAAGTCATTAATGAAAGTCTTGCTATAGTGACCTCGAGAGGAGGAGGAATGGATGGAACCAGCTGACGGGGATTCTGAAATGTATTTCTGCACAGCTTCTCTTTTGGGTTTAGAAGGATTCGTGCAGCTAAGGGTCTCCTGTCGAGGGTAAAAATGTCTCTCCTGGTCGCACTCAGCTGCCAAGAAATCGACTGCGTACTAAGCAATGGAGTGGTAGCCT